CTGAATTATGGCTCTGTTAACAGTTCAGGAACCTCGGCTGATATAGTAGCCGCTGTGAGTATAGTGCTGATGAGAGCTTGGGCAACCGTGTATCTAATGCTGCAGCCTCCCTCCAGAAAGTGGTGTCTGCAGAGTGTCATTTCTGCATTCCTCAGCTGTGGCTAAGCCCATTGGTAAAGGATTTAGGAAAGTTGAGAGCCCCTGCTCTCCCGGAATCCCGGTTGTGTGACCATGTCTCTGTTTCATGTTAAGCTTTTGGCTTGTGCACCTAGGGCAGGCCACAGGTTGTGGCCGTCCTAAGACCTGTTTGTGGGAGGATGTCTCCATCTCCTGGTCTGGGCCGAGTACTGCTGAAAGCCACGCAGGGTTAAAACTGCTCATGCTGGGGCTCTTGCAGGGAGTCTGTGGCCAGGAGGATGCGGTAGCTGAGTGAAGGGCCCTCCATACAGCACTTTTTGGCTCGCAGAGAAGCAAGGAGCTCCTCCACCCAGGAGAAGGGCCGAGCAGAATTCCCATGTTGGCGTCCCCAGGGTACTCAGCACCTCTCTGTTGTGATTTGCACCTTGTGTGGGAGGGAGCATCTCTCTCCTAGGCTCTTCTCATAGAGAGATCTGTTAAGTAGTGAGCCCAGTAAAGAGGGAAGGTGGGAGGTGGCCTTTCCTGCCTATCCGTGTGCGGGCCCGTTGCTGTGAGCACCGCACCGCGACTAAGCTGCTCTTTGCATGGAACAGATTGCATGGGTTGCAGGGCTGCTGTATGGAGTAACCAGGGCAGGGCTGGCTGAGCCCCTGCCCGGCTGCTTTGCTTTCGGCAGGGCCCTGAAGGAGCTGGAGGCACAGCTGGAATACGAGCGCGTCCGGCGGGAGAAGCTGGAGAGCCAGCTGGACGACTCCCGTGCTGAGATCAGCCTCCTCAGGAAGAGCCTGGAGAAACCCTGCGCCCCGCCTGCCCCCCCGCCGGTGAGTGCCGTGAAAGGGGCCCCTGGGGAGGCTGCAACACTCTACTGGATTGCTGTGTGTAATGGCCAGCGTCACCTACTGCCGTCTCTGAATTATCAAGCCCAAATGAGATGCAGAGATGAGGCCCAGGACCCCAGCCCAGGGGCGCCGTAGCCAGCAGGATGCCAGTTTTCCTGAGACAAGACCATGCTCACTCCCCGCTCGCAGCCAGGCACTGCGATGGCTGCCGTGAAGTAGTGGTTGGTGCGGAGGGAGAGAACGAGCAAAAACTACTTTATAGGCTTAGTAAAAGGGTTGGCAAGCAGGAAGAGGAAAATGGAGCCTAAGCTTCACATGAAACATTCCCGTATTCCTTGGAGCAGAAATAGGGTTGCTGGTTAAAAGGGTCAATGTTCCCACCTTTGCTAGCCAGCTCCAAATGAGGTCCAGGTGCTTGGAGTGACCTCCCTGCCCTGGGGAAGGGAGCTTGGGGGCTGTTCTGAGCAGGGAATGAGTGTTTAAGAAGCTGATTTTGTTACCATTTAAACTGCTGAAACAGCTGGGAGAGCAAAGAGGCCCGCAGGCCAAGGCGGCTGGGGCCTGTGCTGGGCTTTCCCACCTTGCAAAAAGAGCAATTTCCATCCATCCACTTTCCATCCATTTTCGTCCTTCTGCTGCCATCTCCTGGTCCCAGGGGAACATGACGCGGCTGCATGTGCCATACACCAGACTGTGCTCAACAGCAGCAACCCAAAGCAGGGAAGCCTGCAGGGTGCCCATCACCCAACCGGTCAGGGTGCTGGACTTGCAGCCACCAAATTCCTTGTCCATGTCCACCAGCAGCAGTTCCAACATCCCTAGCTTGCAGATTTGTCTTTCTCTTGAGTGCTTAAACAGGGATCTGAGGGGCCTCTTGGCCACAGTGAGTCTCTCAGGTGGGGGCATTGCAGCTCTCATCCTTCCAGCACGCCCTAGTGGCCATGTGCTAAAATTCAAGTGGGTTTAAAAGACACTGAGATATTTGTAAGACAAATTACCAAGCACCTTTGTTAAGGATGAAGGCTTTGAATGGGGGAGAGCCCTTCGAGTCACAGAGCAAGCAGGGCATTACTGCAGTTTTCTTGCACCTGGGCAGCACTACCCCATGCTCGGACATAACCACTTTGCACAACTCCTTCCCTCTCCTTTCATCCACTTTCCCCACTCTCTTACTCCTCCTTCTGCCCTCCCTTGCGGGATGGTCTCCTTCAGCAGAAATGTCACGTTCTGTATCCACAGCCCACCTGAAAATATTACCTGTTCTGCTCATCCAGCCATCTGGGATCACTTTGGCAAACAGTGCTTCATTTCTAGGGTAAAACAGTGCCTGGAATTAGTTTGCCACCAGAAGCAGTGTGAAAAAGCACATTTGGGTATTTCCTTAACTGTCACAGCATCCCTAGCTGGCAACAACATCTGCCGAGGCACATTTGTTTTCAAAACTGCTGCTGTGATCAACTGCTGAACAAGGGACCCTCAAAATGTCACCCTGCTGTGACTGCCATGCTGAGCACAGGGGACTAAGCTCTGCTCTGCATCGTGTTTGACCCTAAACATCCCCTCAAGCCAAACACTGGATCTACACTTCTAGCTTTGATTTTGTCAGCTGCACTTTGCAGCTGAACAGCAGCCTAACCAAAGGGGAAAAAAAAAACTGTGTGCTAGTGCTTCATGCCAGCTGTCCCACAGAGTCTGCAAGCTTACAAGAAATACAAGCTCCTTTCTCTGTGCTGTAACATCACTTACTTACAAAAAAACAGGAAGAGAAAATCAAAAACGAGTTGTATAGAAACAGCCCAGAAAACACCAGGCTTGTGGCTCAGTCACAGGCAAGGAGATTGCCAACAGGAGAGAAGAGTGTGTCCAAAACAGGTCTTTGAATGCTCTGTCTGACAAACTGCAGGTGCAGTAGGTGATTTTGTTAGAATAAGGTAGGGACTTGGCTGTTAGTGCGTTTGCTTTGAACACAGTATTTTCTGGCTATTTACGTGCATACAAGTCTGCTCAAAATCTTACCTTATTGGGTAGCCTATTTAAGTAATCAGCATTTAATGGTTGTGATGTCCTTTGTTTCAGGAAACTGAGGTGACAGCTGATGCTTGCAAAGAGAAAAAGAAAATAAAGAAGAAGCCACCCTCTAGCCCTGGAGGGGTGTTTGTGAAGCGATGCTGAGGAGCTAACCTTGCAAACAGGGCAGGCAGGCAGGCTTAAGAGAAGGATGTCAGTGCAGGGATGCAGCTGTGGCCAAGACAGCCAAGGCAGGCTGCACGTGAGTTTGTAAACCATTTTCCTAGTTCTCTGCGATAGAAAATATTTTTAAATCACAGAAGCATTTTTAAAAAACTGTAAAGCTTCTTTTCCTATCTCAGTGGCTGTTTGGCAGCAGCATTGGAAATTATAAATAGCAATTGAAGAAGTAACTGCAGACATGTCATAGAGCCCACTAGACCTGAGGAGAGTATCCACATCTGTGAGGCTATTCTGTATTTCATCTTTTAAAGCAGCACCTTGCTTCTTAAAATAGATCAGACACACAGTGAATCTTGGCTCCACACTAAGGATCTAGAGAAGGGCATATGCTTGACTGCAGACTTGTGCTAAGTCCTTTGCTTTTCATGGAGTCATTCCTAGGGAACTGCTTCCCAATGCACCACGTGAGGGGTCGTGCTGGGATCTCTGCGTCTAACTCGGGGCTGAAGGTTTCACTAAGTTTCAAGGAATGTTCAAATTGGAAGCAAGCCTGACCTCCATGTCCCCAAAATCTTTTCATGATTTTACACATAATAAAAATTTTTCTCCCATCTGTATGCTATTGTGAAATTCCTGGAACCTTCATCATGCATAACACTGAAACTATTTTGACTTCAATAATAAAGTCAATGATATAAGACTTTAATACAGGTTAAATTGAATCCTGATGGTAGAATGAGGGTGGGCAGTTTGCTACATGGCAATTACTGAGTGACTGCCCACAACAGGCTCAACCCTCAACAGAAAAGCTCTGTGTCTATTGCAAAAATCTCATTTTTGCAAGTTGTTGATATGAATTCAAATCTTTCAGACAGCAAATATAACAAAATCATTTTATTTTCTTAAATGAAAATGTTTAAATACATAATCTCAAGCACAAAATACAATAATTTGCAGCATACCAGCAAATTCAACTGTAAAGAAAACAGGACCACAATAGAAAAAAAATGGTCATAATCCCAAATTTTATGCTCTATAGCCCATTAAGAGGCTATTCCTGAAGTAAAGTTTAATCCAGGGAGAATTTTAATTTACCACAAGACTCCAGCTAAGGCTGGGCATTTATACTAGGCAAAGCGTGACTGCTTCAGGGCTGGAAGACACCACCCGTTCCGTTCTGTCTGGGCCATCAGAGTCTTGCAGGAGGCAGAGGGATCGTCACCACACGGTAGCTCAGAAGCTGCTGTGGCCCCTTTATTTCCATAGGGGACCGTTAGGAATATTTATCCGCCCGAGGCTTGAAACTAAGAAAGGGAGGCAGTACTCTGTGGGCCTCTGTAGGTATGGGTCAAAGGTATTAAAAAAAACACATGGAGACATCTTAGTTTTAAATGAGAGTTTAAATCTATGTAAACCACTTTTCAGGAAAAAGAGGCTTCTCAGGAAAGGCTGGGAGCACATTTATAAATATTATTAAGGAGCCCTGCTTCAACCTATCAGAAAAGAGCAATAGATTGAGGAAACATCAGATTTTAGCTTTACTTAAGATTAGAATACTCCTCTATTTAAGATTACAATATTCAGTTTGGATCACAGTTGATCCTTTGGAACCTGACATTACTATTTCCATATTTTCATGGGCACGTTTAGTACTTCCATTCTGAAGACAGCTGAGAGCATAAATAACGTTCTGAAAGACAGAACAAACTTAATTCTGAAACTTATTTGGAAACACTTTCTAAATTAAGTAGAAAGTCTTTCGAAATAAATGACTGAATAAAGAACAAAGAACTACCACCAAGCATTTACCTACACTCCTTCCCTGTGTCCCCAGTTATTTTGATCTTTAGTGTTACCTATTCAGAAAACATCCTTAGTGCACAACAAGAACATCAAACCCAAAGGGTACCAAGATTACCTACAGCTCAAACATGACAGTCTAACACATGCTGCATGGTGGCCTTTTCTCCATCTATGTTTGATGCAGTTGTTCCATTTACATCTATTTCCAGAACCTGTAGAATCCCAGTGCTATTGCTAGGCAAGTGAATACTGAAGCTGTTAAAAGAAAAGAGGTAATAATTAAGTCATTAAGCCTCTAAAACCTGATCAGTTGTCTTACAGTAATCATTAAGCTGTTATTTGAGTTAATGTTAAAATAAAGCTAAATGGCTTTGTCTTTGGACTTGTCGCACTCCCAAATATCATCCGTTATTTCTTTTTTATTCAGCTCTAATGCAAGATAAATTTCTCTAGCTATGTATATACCGAGAAGTCAATCTCAAGTCAGACTTGGATTTGTTCTTCTTGGCAGTATAAATACTGCCACACTGAACATGTGCTGCTTAGAAAGGCTGAATGGGAGCCAGGACTTGGTGCAGCAGGAAAATACAGTAATAGCAAATTAAGAGATTGTCCTATTTCCATATTCCAGAAATCAGAAATCACAAGGACTTTCAGGAACTGAGAGCAGAGCGACCCACAACGCAGCTTACACAGATACCCTGCCCCACTCCCAGGCTAGTTCTGGGTGTCAGGAAACTTTTGGGATAACTTAAAGGGCATCAGGAGAACTTCTGGAAAAACTCAGTTCCTCCTGATCCCAATTCTGGGCACAATCCTAATGTAACTGCAGTGCTTTCATGTGCTTCCTCCATGTCCTGTGTCACTTCTGTTTTACAGGGGGAATATCCCCCCAGTCCCTGTTATCTGCTGCTGTACGGCTGATTCCTTGGATTACGTTTGCATCAGCCCCTTGTTCATAACACATAGAAATGCAAAGAGACACGAGAGAACGCAACCAGTTTACAAGATATTTTCTAGAACTGTGTGTCCCCAGGCTTTAAAAACATACTTGAATAAAATTCTGTACTTCCCAAACACTGCACCTTCTTGCTTATCACATACCTGCCAAATAACGGATTGTATCCAGCTTATTAGATTCCATAAGTGTCTTTAAGGAAGCTATTTCAGTGTCAATTTTATTACTGATTTCTGAGATAACACTGTTGGTACTTGAATCCTGAAACATTAAAAGATAATATATATTTGACTGTGATATCTAGCCCCTTCAGTTCTGCAAAAGCAAACAGAAATGCCTTGCTATCAGAAACAAGGAAAAAAAAAAAAAACACCCTTTTAACCGTATTTCCAACCTGTCACTGAAGTAAAATATGTAACTGCTAAGTGACCTCAGAAGAGGCCAGACAGCACTCAACATAACCTAAGTTGGGTATTAAAGAGGAAAGGAGAACAGAAGAAAATTCACATACAGCAGATTTTTCTTTAATGCCCCAGTCAACCTAAAGGCACCATTCTCTAATGTACAGATGAATGTCTAAATTTCTGTGAAAGGCTGATTTAATCATGCACCAGCCACATTCAGAGAAGGAAGGGGCACAGACGGGACGTGTCCACCACTGCCTCTTGGACTTCAGTGCTGCTCTGAGGACTCGCAGCCTCCCACACTGTTCCTTGGTTGCAGGCAGCCAAACCTGCACCACGTTAGGCCTTCACCACTGGCAGGGGCAGCGTGGCAGTGCACACCCCACACACAGCAGCTTGGGCACTAACACACTCACGAGCTGAGCAGTAAAAACTGTCAGGAAATACTGGGGGGGTCTTGCCTGACCCCTTCCACCCAGGGGACGTTTAGCACAAATCCCATAGACCTGGACCACAAACACATGTTCTGTGAGTGGTACCACACAGAAATCCTGTTGGCTTTCCCGATAGTTTTGAGTTGACATGACATAAAATAAGAATAGTTCCACATTATGAAACAGGCTCTGTTTAATACTCACTTTCTTGTGAAACTCTGTAGTTGCTTCCATGAGTTTCTTCTCTTGATCTGTAAACTGTGAATGAAAGACAAGTAACAACTGTAGAACTGAACAACTGGAGAACAGAAACAGAACTGAGAAGGGCATCTTCAATGCCCAGCTTACCATATCCGTCACTCTGCTTCTTTCCAGGTTTATATCCAGCTTGCTGTCAGCTCGGATTTTACCTGTTTCATTCTTTAAAACAAATAAAGATTATGAAAATAACTGCTTACTTCCCCTAATGGGAGCATATACATACTTGCTGTTTACTTACCATTAGCTGTTGTTTAACTTGATCTAATTCAATTTTCATTTTCTATGTGTAAGGGAGAAAAGAAAAATATTTTATTATTCAGAAAATAAAGTATTGCTACTACATGGTTACCAGTGCATTCATTATAATTACTCTCCCATGAGTTTCCTCTTAGTGGAGCAATTTGTTCTCATTACATAACTTGTGTGTTCAATCTATATAGCCAAGTATAGCTTATTGGAAACAACCTAATTGGAAATGAAGGTTTTTTTTTTTTTTTTTGCAATGATGTACAATAATAAATTTGTTATATTGAGACTAAGTATACCAAAAAAAAACAAAATACCGAAATTCGGTAGCAAATACCGAAAAAGTTGTCAAGACAACCAAAATACACTTAAATCACTAATTTAAATTGTTTCATAAAAATGGCTGATTACTCTCCCTATGCTGTAAGATTTATGATAAGTCTCTACTAGAACCACCCCTAAATAAAAAAATTATTCTAAGATGCAAACCTTTTTTTTCTTTCCTGAAGAACAAACAAGTCTTGCCAATTGAAATAAATGTTATGTGATTACAAAAGTCATCATGTACAAATTTTTCAGCTCTGATAGAAGCATCCATGATTACTTCTACATAAGAAATTTATTCCTCAAAAAAAATATTCAGCAGGTATAGCCCAACATACATTACAACTTAATTGTTTAATTTAAAACACTTGCAAATACCTCATTCTCTGCTCTCAAGTTTGCAAATTCGCTTTTCTCCAGGATGACCATATCTTTCCGAATAGAGTCCAAATGTGCCATTATCTGCTGTAAAGTTATTTCCTTTGAAACAACAAGCAGGTCAGAATGATTAAGTCCCATACATTCTGGCAAAGCCAAGGAAAGCAGAGGTTTTTCAGGTCTGAGGTTGTGAAATAAGCTACAACAAAGCACGAAACAAGGAGAAAAACAAAAACAAACAAACAAAAAACCCAAAACAGGAGAGTGGCCAAATCACAGATTACAGCTGGGATTTGTCTGGAAGATTCAGGAAAGCAATATTCCTATGCCTAGAATAAGAAAGTTACCTTGCTGTTTAACATGAATAATGACAGTTCTGTGGGATTCTGCCTTTAAAGCTCCAAGCCAGCGAGACGTGAAGCTCTCATTCAGTACACAGTATTTCTCAGTTCCTATGAATACCCAAAACACATCCTGATGCAGCTTCCCCTGAAGTCTGACTTTACTTCGTTTCACATAATCAAGTTGCAGCTTTTAATAACTCCTGGTAAAGCTTCAGCTACATTTACATTAGGATGTGATTTTCTCATCCCATCTTAAAATAGGCAGCTTCAACACTGGTGACGTAACAACAAGCAGTATTTCTGTCCAACAAAATTCCACGCAAATTACATTTGGGATACTGACTTAAGTGCAACAGGATCCCCTAAAAGAAGTATTTTCACTTTAGTTTAAAAAACCCAAACAACAGAAACACACAGGCTTTTGGATTCCTTATTTTTGAGACATATTTAAAGGAATGTTAGATAATTTTTACCACGAATAAATGTCAGTGAGATAAAAACCTGCTGTAATCAAGATTCAGCAGTTTTAAAGTAACAATAAATGTTTAACTGCAAGGAGGTCATAATTTCAGATTGTAGAACCTTCCTAACTGCATATTACTGTGCGTAAGAACTTTATTTTGGTATTTTTAAAGATAAATACTGTCATTATCAGCAAAAAATGATTGTGCCACTTTCCCAGCTGACTGCCTGCAAACACATTCACAGTCGTTTGACGCCAAAGCGAAGGACAAGTCGGGACTTGGCTTGGGAGGTGCTGACCTGAGCAGTGCCAACGGCCAGGCCGATACAAACCAGTAAGGCAGGGCTCCCTCCCTGGCTGTCCCCGAGGGCAGGTGACATTGCCAGGCTGCCCAAACCTCCTCCTCCTAAAGCAGGGAGGCTCCATCCGCCCTGTCTTGGACAGTTCCCAGCCAGCAGCTGCACTAACAGTTTATGAATTAGAAAATAACAAAGCTCAACAAATACAGCTCATGTATGAGCAAAACTGACATCTTTGCTACTGTAAAAAAAACTAAACCAGACAACTTCCTGCTGTTTTATGTACAGTGTTGT